AAGCGATATTTTGGTTCAAACATTGATATGGGAATTTTAATCATCTGAGACCGGTAGACATTTATGTATATATAATTCCTTTTTTACAAAAATCTCCGAACTTGACCTTTGATTAATACTAGTAATCAAAACTGCCAATACACAATGTAAATTCTAGTACATGTATTTGTATCATTATATCTACAAAAGAACAGTTTCTTAATATAGAAATGAGAAGGAAAGCCTACAATGTTAAGAATACTTCAAGAAAAAATGTAGTTTGTTTTTATCAGTTTGTATTACCCGAAATTTGAGTGTTCTTAATTTTGGGATATATATTAAAAAAAAATTCATCTTCACAATTCGAAGGTTTTGTGATATGTCCGTTCCAATGGTATTAAAAAAAAAGAGAAACCATGACATTGTGAAAATATTTTTAGCCGGGCTTATTGCTCAAAGAGCAATTGCCGGCTTATGTGATCCTGTTCAAGGCAGGATGTTGACCCCATATGTCGCCATTTTAAAGTTACGTGCAAAAATATAATTCTTACTCTCAACCGCTTTTGAATATACAAACGCTAAATAAAGCAACAAAAATGAAACGAAATTTTATCTATATAAAACAAACATTAATAGTAATGACTTTGAAAACTTCATAATTCAAATTAATTTTTGATTAATAAAAGGATTTTTGATGAATGCAATGGTTGGGTTATCGTAGTTCTCTACACATACGAAGTAAAGCAGGAGAGGGAAAAAGTTGTGTTATATATTAAAAAAACTGGTTTTCGTGTTTATATTTAACAAAAAAATCTATGCAGATTATAAATCAAATTACATGTACTTCAGAATTCGCTTTAACTTTTATTTTAAAATTATTTTTTGATCAGAATATAAACATGATTCATGTAAGAAATTTTTTTTTTTACTGCGTTGTAAATAAAACGGCTCTCTGTACTTCTGAGTACTTTGATTTTCTTTAGCAGATTACTAGTATCACGTGACAATTGCAACGTCATAATAGCGATTATGACGTCACGATTCTTCAGTGTATTGGCAACGAATGTCGGAATAGTGTTGACATTATCTCATCAAAGGAAAAATTCTTAGCTTGAATGTAAAATGAATATTCAGACTCAGGTGAGTAGCAATTTTCAACAAAGTTAGTCCAGAAAATAGGTGCATAATTTCATGGTTATACTTAATGTAATTCTCTCCAATTAATTTTTGATTAATAAAAACATATTTTCTAGTGAATGCAATGATTGTGTTTTATCTTGGGGATAAAATAAATAGTCTAATGGAAAAAACCTCAGGGAAACGGAAAAAATTGTGTTATCGTAAAAAAAAAAATAGTTTTTCGTGTTTATATTCAACAAAAAATCTATGCAGCTGATAAATCAATTTACTTCAAATTCGATATGACTTTTTAAAAGTTTTTTTTTTATATAGTGAGTTGTGGTATGGGGAGTTTTTTTTTACTGTCTTCTATCAATAAAACACCTCTATTTTGACTTAATTGAAATGAACGTGCTACTTTTTTTGATTGTACATTATTTAAATAAATCTCAAAACGTCGATGCTGCCTGTAATATAGCAGGGGGTGGGGATTGTTGCAATAACTTTATTTATGCATGTTCAGAATGCTTTTCATAATAATAAAAAAAACTTTTGATGCAATGGGTTCCATACAAACTTTTGTTTTGAATTCATGCCGCCCACTGAACTGCCCATAGTTTAGTTAAAAATTACAATTTATATGCATTAAAAATAAATAACACTTTCTGCAACTCGTAGAAAAAAAATTCAAAATTTACACAAAAGCAATTTAGTCTTATCTTCACTTGTGTTTAAAAATTGAAATTGTTTATTATTTTTTTATTGAATTTAATAACGGCACAGCGAAAACATATAGACAGATTCTAAATTGAAATAACTTATTAAGATGTATCATACTGAGTGAAATTCATGAACGTGGGCAGAGTTTTAACAAAATTCGTGGAGGGGGATAATATTTTAGAGTAGATTTTTATCACATGACATTTTCAACGTCACAATAGCTATTATGACGTCAGTAAACTTTAGTTTATATTGGCAACGAATGTCGGAATAGTGTTGTTATCTAATCGAAAGAAAACTCTGCGTAAAAGTACGATGAATACCCACAATCAAGTAAGTAGCAACTTTGAACAATGTTAGACTGTTCACGAACAAATATGCATATAATTATACCAAATGCATTTCTCTCCTTTTTAAAAAAGAATATTCTTGTTATGGCATCAATAGAATTCACTTACGATGTAATGAGTAAAAATGCAATACATTTTAAAGGAATATTTCGATGAATACCCACAATACCCACAGAAAATCAGAAATTTGTTTTTGTCAAATTAAAATACTTTATATTTTTAATATTGAACATGCAATGAATATTTTTAAAAAATATCGTCATCCACGTACAAATTAATTCAATTATTCTTTAATATCTATATTTTATTCACCGTAAACCAGTTTATAAGTCATAATATTCATGCTTACATCACATCTTTAGTTCTGGTATTCTCTACAGTTCCAGAACCACATCGAAAATTAATGTTACAATACTAAAAAAATATTCAAGATGTCTCTATTGCATGCAATATCAACTGTCAAAGATCAAATATAATAGATACACTGGAATGCTTCCATTTATAAGTTTGAAAATACTCTAGAAATAAGGAACTTCTTTGATGAATTTTTTTATGTAATGGATCCAACTAGTTTCAACCCGTGTTTTCATTTTATTATAGAATGAGATTTTGGATTTCGGACAAGACCCTGTAACCAGTGTGGTAGGTTACTTAGCTTTTAATATCATGATATTTCAACTTAGTTTTGATTCCACTCACTAAATTGGGTATTATAGCCAATGTCATAAAAAAACCCTTTTATTTCAGGATGCCAAATTGGCAATTCTGTCTTTCTCTTACAACTGGGCTGATGTGGTTGAACAAGAGGAGAAGTTAAAGGTATTTTTCTATACCAATAATTTACATATTATGGGTATTTGACTATCTAAAAATATTATGAATATATTTAATTATTTATTTGCTTATATTCTGCACAACTTACAAATTATGATACAGGTTCCTGACGGAAATAATATACCTAAAGAAATTTTTTGTGGAATGCAGTACAACATATGACCTTTAGACTGCTCTCTCTCTTTTTTTTTCTCTCTCATAATTTCACAAAAATATAATCTGTAAATTTCAGAGTAATAGAGATGTCCTTGTGCCTCAAGAGCATCTAGACCAGACAAACGTCACAAGTACTACTATTGAAGCAGCAGGATTTTCTACAACAGAACTAGCAGAGTATAAGGTAGGAAAGAAATGCAAATAAATATGTTACTCTAGAAATAATAGTAAAGTGATACAAAAGAAAATAATCATGCTATGCTTTAGACTCTATATTTTACGAGATAATAATGGGGTATACTAGTTAATTTTGGAGGATTCAGATTTTCACTTATTGTATTCTGTTTCTTTTCCGAGATTATGTAGAAATTATTCGAATTTTTTAAACATTATTCAGTATTAATTCTTATATAATGGAGAGCAAAACTATTGTAATGTTGATTCAGAAAACTTTCATTTTATAAATTTTTAAAATGCTTGATGCTATAATAAACCTACTTTGATGAAAAACTTCTATGTACTTATTCCAACTAGTTTCTAATCAGCGTTTTCATTTTACAGAGCGAGCTCTTGGATTTCGGAGAGGAAGCCGTCACCAGTGTGGTAGGTGAACTTAACTTTTAATTATGTGAAATTTCAACTTAGTTTTGATCCCACTCTCTAAATTGGGTATATTAGCCAATGATTAAAAAACTCTTTTGTTTTCAGGATGCCAAACTGGCAATTCTAGCCTTTTCATATAACTGGGCAGATGTTGTGGAGAAAGAAGAGAAATTAAAGGTAATTAACATCAATATAAAGGTATATCAACAATATACAAACATTTGAAATATTTGATCTTTCATTGTAAATATGTCCTGCGCATTTCACAAATAATGACACAACTAGGTCCCTTGCAGAGAAATATTTACGTGTTTACGTAAAAAGTTATCTTTCTGAAATGCAATATTTATATGTATTTTAAAATGTAATAGCTCTATTTTATGTTTCGTTTTTTATGTTCATAAAATTATGAAAAAAAATATTTCGTTAGTTTCAGGGTAATGGAGATGTTTGCGGGCTTCAGGTACATCTAGGCCAGACAATCGTGGACGTCGTGAACTCTTCTACAGCAGAAGCAACCAATGCTAAGGTATAAATTGCAAATAAATACTAAATACATAAGAAACAATCGTTATATTTATATTATTTGTCTTAATAAAAATAATCATCAAAATATGCATAATGATATAATGTCATCACTTTGTTATTAATTTTACCTTCTCTTCCTTTAAAGGAGGAAAGCAAAGCCTTCGGTGACCTAGACTTATCAAACATAGCCCAAGAATACGAGGACGCAGCAGATACAAACCTCGGTCCACATTCTCGCCCATTGCAACTGGGACAAAAAGACAATAAAGATGCTGCAGAAGCGAACAGTCAAGCGTCCCTTGAGAAAATGGAGGAATCCGTGTACCGAATTGACAATTCTGTGATTCAGTGCATGAAGAGACTGGTGCACATCTATGATGCTAAAACTGGAATTGTAGTTGGAGAGATCCATGCACAGTGCATTCGAGAATCAGATGAACGGGATAGACAGCCAAAGAGGACAGAATTTGGTGCCACAGATTCCAAAGAATTACAGGTTAGATAATGTTGTTTTTAAATCTTTGGTAAAAGATGTGTAAAGATTTAAATTTAACTGGATGAAAGTTCTTACATATATAATCCTTTTTGTTACTTATTACAGAGCTCACATCCTCAAAACATCCTGCTTGATGGTATTCCTGTTAGATGCAGCACCAATAGCGGTACAACAGCCACATGCAACGTCAGTAGAGGCACAACAGCGACATGCAGCACCGATAGCGGCACAACAGCGACATGCAGCGCCGATAACGGTACAGCAGCCACATCCAGCACCAATAGCGGCACAACAGTGACAGGCAGCACCGATAATCAAACAAGGTAAACATGTTATGCTATCTTACTCTTCGACTTTAGATGATACATTCTTTTCTGATATTTTATGTAAATTTCCCAGACATTCTGCATTAAACTTTATATTTGATGCTTTTAAAACTCGCCAGAACTTCACAAAAAGAACATTCTAATATCACTTATTTTCATTATGCGCCTTTGTGTATATAAATTGTTAAAATATTAACAGTGACATATAGGTCCTTTATCGTTGTAAAATATATATTGTATTACTGTAACAATACACATGTCACTATAATAAATAATTTACTTACTTCTTACTTACTTACTAAAAGTTTGCAATATTTCCTATAATTCAAATTCTATAGTAATTCAATAGCTTACAATCGTAAATTTGAAATGAACACATTTTAATTTCTGTTACAGGAAAATCCGTGGACTGGAAATCATTGACCAAGAAATATCTATTCTGTCAACAGAGGTAAGTAAAAAAAGTTTTTTCCCTCAGAATAACGCATGTCAATTACCCATCGATATGAGAAATGATTTCTTTAATCTTGGTGAGAACAAACATCATAATGGGATGGGGTTGGTGGGTAGGGGTTGCATTTTGTGTTTTTCATTTAAAAATATCCATAGTAAGATTTCTTTTTTTTGTAACAGCTAATTGCGCCGGACATCCAGGAATCAAAGAATGTGGAAACTGACGCAGAAAACGAGTATTTTACCAAACACCCTCTGATGCGGCTGTTCCTTTGTGGAGCATGTTGCTTAGTGAGTACGAATTCCCAAATACTTCAATTTGATTTAAACAAATTGTGTAATAGCATGACTTATTTAAAATGTATTTTTTTCAGAAAAAAAGAAAAACGAAGACCACTGAGAAAGTTGGACTGTTCAGAAGAATTCGAAAGATTTTCCGCAGGAATTAAATGACTGTTACATGTTCCGGAAATTGAGAAGCTAATCTGTGATATTTTTAGAGATAATTAAATTTAATTTATTTTTACCTACAAAATTGTGTTTACTTTTTGGTTCAACTGAGTCTGACTATATGTAAGGCATGATTACACAACTTTTATTCTATTACCATATATACAAATACGTAGCATATGGAGAAAATGAGCTTTATTAAGATTAAAAGTCCATAAAACAATACACAATAGGAGCAGAACCAACACCAACCTCCAAAACATCAGAAGTGGAATCAGGTGCCATGGAGGAGTGAGCAGCCTCTGCTGACCGGTCACACCCGCCGTGTGATCTATGTCTTGATCTAAAAATAACGAAAAATCCGTCGTCAATTCAGTGCATGTACAGATAATGGACTAACAATTAGTATGAAAAACGTCAGTCAGCATTTGACTTAATGACAAATTGTATTTGCTGACAAGGTCATTTTATCAACTATAGAACTTAAAAATTGATGATTTTAAACGAGACTGCCTATATTTTTGTTTCATCAACTTGATTGTATTAATTTACCTCGTTTTAGAAACTGTTCATAGAACATGCTCTTGCGCATTGAATACTGAGAAATGAATCGCAATGCATTGTGGGCTGCTACAAGTATTCAGATGTGTTGAATATAGAGACAACTTGAATTGTTCCTTAGAAACTTAATAATGAAATTATATTTTGAGATTTATGAAAGAATTATTTAAAATAATGTATAATCTTTAATTTCTATGCTCAAATTTACAAAATTTGCTCGATGAAGCCTTATCAACTTAAACTTTATACAATGAAGCACACTAAAGTGGTAAATTTTCCGTTTCCAAGAATGGAACGTTTTGAGCAATCTTTAGAAGTTGATTGTCATATAATGACCAGTTACATGGCAAAATTACGAATATATGGAGTTTTAAAAACTTGGTGAAGACTTTGTGAGGAGTATTTCAAAGTACTATTTAACGAGGAAAACTGACTTTGTTTATGTGAGCATGGGAAATCTAAAACATAATCATCATATTTTACAGAAAGACATTTCAAAAAATTGTTAGCTAACTTTCCTGCAGTCATTTGAAATCGCGTCCTAAAATTTTCCAGACCCATGTGTTTGTAGTAAAAATAAACATAGTAGACCATCATGCTTTTCGGCTCATTCACTGGATTTGACCATTGTTTGCTGTGAGCACCTCTGTGCTCAATGGCAACAATATCCATTAAGGTAGTTTCCTCGACCTGTTTTAAGACTTATTGTCATTCACCCTCCCAGAATCCTCTTAGTACTCCCTCTCCTGCCACTCCTACTCTCTCCCCACTCTCTTCTAACTCCCACTCTCCCTCCCTCCACACTCCAACTCTCTCTCTCTCTCTTCACTCCCTCCATTCCTCTTTCCCCAATCCCACTCTATCTCCTCACTCTCTTATCACTCCCACAGTCTCCTCACTCCAACTCTCTCTCTTCACTCTCCACTCCCTTTGTATCCCTTTCCCCTCTCTCCAAAACCCTCTCCCGTATTTCTCTCACGCCACTCAAACTCCTACTCTCTTCTAATTTCCATTTCTCCCCACTCCCTGCCTCTAACTCATCCACATCCAATTCTCCAACTTTTTCTCTCCTGCCCTTAACTCTATTTTCTCTCCAATACCTTCTCTCTCCACTCCCTCTCTAAATCTCTCCAAACTCTCTCCCAACTCCCTCTCTCGCCACTCCTACTCTCATCCTCCCTCCATCTCCCCCTCAATCCCACTCCCTCTCCACTAAATCCCACTTTCTCCACTCCCACTCTCTGTCCCAACTCCCACTCCTCATTCTCCATTCTCTCCCTTCCTTTATCCCCACTATTACTCTCTCTAATTAAACTACAACTGCATAACACTCTCCAGATGCTCTCTTTCTCAAATCCATTCTCTTGCTCCCCACTCCCCTGTCTCCCTCCCCTTCTTACTCTCCTCAATCTCTCTCTCTCTTCCAAATCTCACTCTCTCTGACTCTCACTTTGTCTCCCAACTCCATCCCTTTGTCTCTTCTCTCCAACACTTGCTCCCACCCTTACTCTCTCCCTTCCCCCTCTCTTTTTAGCCTCACACATGCTCTCTCTCTCTTCACTCTCATCCTCTCCCCACTCGCTCCCTCCCTCCCTCTCTCTCCTCTTCAACTTTCTCTCAACTCACTCTCCACCTCTCTCATTCCCTCTCTCCATACTCCCGCTCTCTCCTATTCTCTCTCCCTTTCTCCCAAACTCTCTCTTCCGTTCTCCCACGCCCATTCCTCTCTTTCACCACTCTCACTTCTCTCTCCACTCCCACTTCTCTCTCACTCCAACTCCCTACTCTCTCTCCCCTCTCACCCTACTCCCACTCCTCTCTCTCCCCACTTCTCTCTCTCTCTCCACTCCCACTCCTCTCTCCACACCCCTCTCTCCCCACTCCTCTTTCTCTCGACTCCCACTCCTCTCTCTCTCTTTCACTCCTTTCTCTCTCCACTCTCTCCAAAAACCACTCCTCTCTCCAAAACCCACTCCTCTCTCCACTCCCATTCCTCTCTCTCCACTCTCAATCCTCTCTCTCTCTGCACTCCCACTCCTCTCTCACTCCCACTCCATATTCTCTCTCCCCACTCACTTCATTCCCACTCCTCTCTCTCCACTCCCACTTTTCTCTCTCTCTTTCACTCCTTTCTCTCTCCACTCTTTCCCACTCCCACTCCTCTCTCCACTCTCACTTTCCTCACCCCACTCCCCTCACTCCCTTCTCTCTCTTTCTCCATTTTTGCTCCTTTCTCTCCCCACTCCCACTCCTCTTTCTCTCCACTCTCACTCCTCTCTCTCTCAACTCCCACTTCTCATTTTCTCCACTTCCACTTCTCTCTCTCTCCACTCTCACTCCTCTCTCTCCACTCCCACTCCTCTCTCTCTCCTCTCCTCTCTCTCCACTTCCACACCTCTCCTCTCTCACTCCTTTCTCTCCACTCTCACTCCTCTCTCTCTCACTCCACCCTCTCTCTCTCTCCACTCTCACTCCTCTCTCTCCACTCCCAATCTCCTCTCTCTCCACTCCCATCTCATCTCTCTCTCTCCACTCCCTTTTCTCTCTCTCTCTCCACTCCCCCTCTCCTCTCCCCACTCTCACTCTACCCTCTCTCTCTCTCTCCACTCTCACTCCCTCCCTCTCTCTCTCTCTCCACTCCCACTCCTCTCTCTCTCTCCACTCCCACTCCTCTCTCTCTCCACTTCCCTCCTCTCTCCCCACTCTCACTCCACCCCCTCTCTCTCTCTCCACTCTCACTCCACTTCCACACCTCTCCTCTCTCACTCTTCCTCCTTTCTCTCCACTCTCACTCCACTCCTCTCTCTCTCCACTCTCACTCCACCCTCTCTCTCTCTCCACTCTCACTCCTCTCTCTCCACTCCCATTCCCCTCTCTCTCCACTCCCATTCCTCTCTCTCTCCCCTCCCATTCCTCTCTCTCCACTCCCCTCTTTCTCCCCACTCTCACTCCTCTCTCTCTCTCCACTCTCTCCCTCTCTCTCTCTCTACTCCCACTCCTCTCCACTCCCCTCTTTCTCCCCACTCTCAATTCTCTCTCTCCACTCCCACTCCTCTCTCCACTCTCACTCCTCTCTCTCTCCACTCTCACTTCTCTCTTTCTCCCCACTCCAACTTCTCTCTCTCTCTCCACTCTCACTTCCCTCTCTCTCCACTCCCACTCCTCTCTCTCTCCACTCTCACTCCTCTTTCCCCACTTCCACTTACCTAAAATAAGATTAATAAAAACTATCCAAATTATCATGAAATGTTTTATTCTAATTGTTTTACTTAAATTATTTTTAACTTTTAGCAGAATTGTATATTTTGCAAAAAAATAATGTATTTTAAAATTCTATGGGGAAAAAATTTAAACATCACAAGATACTGCTTCCCAGTTTGCATTATATGCTCAGGCATTTAAATTTTGACATACAAGCTTGAATAACAATATCTATATGCTTACTAGCAAGCAAGTCATTAAATGGCTTTGTTATCTTTGTAACATCTCTGATGAAGCAGTGGTAATAGCCTATAAACTTCACCTGCCTTAGTTGGTCTGAGCCAGTTCAGGACTTTATCTTTCTTATCTAGATCTTGTTCTATCCTGTCTTTCAAAACCACATTCTATGTATTTCTCTCTGTCCTTGAAAAAAGCACACTTCTTAGGTGAAAGTTTTAACTTGTTTTCCCTGAGGTACTGGAATATCTTTTCTAATCTTAATCTCTAAACATCTTTAAATGTTCTTGAAAATATTCATAAATCATTCAAATAGATGTAACACTGATGTTGAGATGTAAATACTCTAAACAATCCTCCATTATTCTTTCACATGTTGCTGGACTTTGGCCAATTCAAACAGAATCCTATTACTTCCACACCATTGATATTAATCTTTAATTCTCCTGTGCGTCCTGGTATTGTTTTTAGGTGATTACTGAGGCTCTGTGTTCCATGAAGAGTTGTTGTGTGTCATAACTTCCTACTTGACCTCTGTATAAACTTTGACCTCTTAATGATCCTTGACCTCTTTTTGAATCTAGACCTCAGTATGTTCCTTGTCCTTTAGGTCTAAACTTAAGTTGATGTGGCGCAGACTGTCCATAATATGAATTCCCTTCATCTCCACTGCAATTATCTTTTCTAATGAACTGTTGTGGTCTGCTGTATCTCTCATCCTTCAGTTGTTGTACCTCAGCCGCCAGCTTGCTTTTAACATTCGTGTGACTTCATCCATTTCAGATGTGGGCTTGTCTCTATGTATTGCACTATAATCACATTTGAACCTTACTTCTTTTAACTTGTGCTTATTTTTGATGATCATGATCCTCTACAATAGCTCGCAGTTCTGATTTTGGTTCACCCAAAGATAGAAATTTGTCATGTATGTATACTAATGCATCCTTCAAATCAGGTCAAAGTCTTAGCTTCTCAGGAAGCATCTTGACAGAGCATGTCATCATCTTTTTCACTGCTATTACTTCTTATTAGAGGACTGTTTTATTGACACTGTTTTCTTGACACTGTTTTTAAGCTAACAAGTTGACAACCCTATTCTGATACAGTCTCATTTGGCCCTTGTAGAATTTTCCAAATATAGAATGTACATGTACTCTTTGACTGCTTTCAATTGCATCAAAACAAGACATATTTGTGAAACACTTATACCCCCCCCACCGAAATAAATTATTGGGTGCACAAGGAAAGTAAATGATTGAAGATTTTAAGTCCAAAGGGCATAACTGTGACAAAAATTGCTCAATTATACCAAAAAAGACTTGACCTATCATAAATCGTTTACCAAATTTCTAAGCAAAGAAAATAAACAGTAACTTATATGGACCAACCAACCAACAGTGAGACAGCAGCAAAGCCTTCTTTGAAGGAGGCATACAGTATAAGTTGAAATTTTAGCGAGGATTTAATTTTGGTATTATTTGTGAGGGTGCTGACATCGCTAAAATTGAGTATTGCTAAAAGTTAATTGTGTTTTATTTATAATAGCTTCTTAAGTGAGCATTATAAAATCTCTAAAACTACTTTTCGCGAAAAATAAATACCAGATTTAAGGAGAAATCACTAGATTTGATCATGAATCTCTCCAAAATGTCCACATATACGGTAATAAAATAGAGTTCATCTTGAGAATGATAGTGTCAATGGTTGCATTAGGACACCCAGTCACATGATAACGTTAGCAGCTTCTCCTTCACTGATCTTGGAATGGCTTGTAGGATTTGGTCTTCTCTGTACACTTTTTCTTTAGCAAAACACTGGACTATGTAATGCCATATTTCAGAGAATGTTTCTAATTTTGATGATCTGGAAAATGTTAAATTATTTGGTAATCCTGTGTAGTGCTTTTATAACATCAGTTTGAGTTTCAGATTCAGTTTTCACCATCGGTATTTAAGGTAATGATCCAGTACATGTACTAGCTAGCAAATCCTTGTGGTCATGTTTGAAGATCCTCAGAGGTGTATCTGCCTTGGGTTTCAGCTTTAGAAGATCGAAAATTGATGGTCCTTAACTTCTTCTGAAATATCATCTCCCATAAGGAACTTTTCCAACAATCCTAGACAGAAATTTGAATTTCCAATGTAGCAAATCATTTCAATAGTTCACTCACTTGAACTGAACTTAAGATATTTCACTGATATCAGAATTTCACTTTTCACATCCCAAAATGTATTGTACAACTGTATCACTTTGATTAACATCACATTTATCATATACATGATTTATTAAATAAATCATGTATATGATAAATGTAAAATGATAGCTACACTGCTTGTTTTGAATATACAGGTAAACTTCAAAAAAAAAAAACATCTAACGGGACAGTCGGAAAATGTCGAGATATATAGGTGTCGAGAAACAAAGAGTTGAGACTCGACGTCCTTAATTTTACTTCGTAGTAAAACCATAGATCTAAACTGAACAGACGTGTAATTACAGGTACCTACATGTCTTCAGTTAGACTGTTTGTTTCAGCTATCCCTCTATATTTATTAGAAAATCTAAGAAGTTATATATCCACAAATGTTATTTATGAAATGCTTTCTTTTTTTATCGAAATCTTCTCATTTTACTAAAAACCGTTTTCCATTCAGCATTCGATCCGCGTGCCACTAGCTCTGTCAGAACAGGAACACGAACACGAAATGCGCTCTATAAACTCCAAACCGGAACGGTACAAAGTCGACTTCTGAGAAACGGAAAAAAAATTAATGCGTGTATTTTTTAAAATTATTTCATTTCACTTTTTTTTATTTTATAATCATTCATCATTAATTTTCATTTCATTTTCAAACCTAAATTCATTGGAATTGCGCATTTAACAAACTTCATGAAATTACATATGCATCCATATTACAGCTGATGCGTCGTGCATGTCGTTGTTTTGATTGATTCTTGTTGAATGCATTTTCACAATTTTTAAGTTAAATTGAATTCATTGAGTATATTGTTCATTGTTATTCAGTTACTCTTATATAAAATGTTCAAGTTTTGTTAGATTTCGACATAAACAAACGGTTGTACATTAACGCAGAATCGAGAAGATTAATTTTTTTTTTTATCAATGATCGATATTACCCAAGCTGAACATTAAACAATGAACGTCTCATAGACGTCGCGGGGGCTTGGGATTCCTCTACAAACACATTTCTACAGAGCGGTATGTAGTCAAAACATGGGTGTGAAAGGTGTGAAATTCTGATGACGTCGAGGTACATGTCGTCCGTGCGTTACGAGCGACCAGCTGACAAACAATTAGGGTTATGTAGAGCAGCAAACTGACCCGATGTTGACTTATACCAGGTAAATTTTGCTCTTGGGACTGTGAATGTACGTCGAGATAAGCGGGGTAGTCGACATTACCGAGGTCGACATATCAGAGGTTTTGCAAATCATTTATATAGTAAATAAAGCCGGGACCGCGAGAGGACGTCGACATATCCCAGGTTGTCGACATATCCGATGTCGAGATACCGAAGTTTACCTGTACCTTCTAAAATGTCAAAAAACCATCTAAAATATCAAAATAAAATATACATGTTCTTGAAAATAAGAGGCCCAGCGAGGGGCCACATTGCTCACCTGAGCACTTTGGCTGAGAAAAAGCAGAAATCAGTTTAGTACTGCAAAGTTTAGATATTATAGTGGTTTGGTGAGATATTATAGTGGTTTGGTGAGACCTGTATGATTTGAACAAACTTAAAATCTCCACTTCCTATTAAGTATGCTTTTAAATCAATATGACACATAATGGCTTTTCTGTTTTTAACATGAAATTTTTTATTGATATACAGTGGAGCCTCATTTATCCGGACACTTTGGCCCTTGTCAATTTGCCCGGATATATGAAGCATCTGGATATCTGAATTACCAGTTAAACAATAACAAATAACATTTTAACAAATTGTTCCAAGGAAATGCCCTTGGATTTTGAAATCCGGATATCTGACCTACATTGAGGGTCCACGTACTGTATTCTTTATATTCCTTTGTGATCTAAGCAAATTTAAATTACTAGATCATTATCATTTGCTCTTATATTATTGTGACCAGTTATGGCTTTGTTGCTCTTGTGAAGATTTTTTCTTATTTTTACTTTAATACCCCATTATATTCCACCCTACCCCTGGGGTCATGATTTAGATTTGAAAAAAAGAACTTGAATCTACACTATCTGAGGATGCTTCCATATCAATATGTCTAATCTACACTACCTGAAAATGATTACACATAAGTTTCATAATTTCAAGCACAGCTTTACTTGAGAAATTTTTTTTTAAATGATGCCATTAATTTTTCACAAAATCATAATAAAATCCCCTTGGAGGAAGAAAAATCATTTGAAAAAAATCCTGAAAATCCACTTTACCCAAGAATAAATTGTGGCAACATTGGTTGAAAATGGATAAGTGGTTCTTGAGAAGATGAAAATGTGAAAAGATTACAATTATGGTGATAATGACTATGATGACAGACAATGGACAAATTTCAATCAGAAAAGCTCACTCTAGCCTTCAGCTTACGTTAGTTTAAAAAGAAATACTATGCAGAATGATTATGCCAAATGAACAGGATTAAAAAATCAATAATAAAAGAAATAGAATTTCAGAGAAGCTATCATGTATACAAATGTCACAGGTTAAAAAATATAATAATAAAAAGCAAATTTAAAGAATAAATTTGTGGTCCCCACTTTTGGTGGAATCCAACTATTTATGGGATATTCAATGTATCAAATATGAATGCCTTATTATATATCAAAAGTAATATTATAACCAATGCTAAATTTTTGGAAAATTATGTCAAACATTAAGGTCAAGTGGTCCAAAATCAAAGCATATTCAGAAACATCTTATCACAGCTATATAGCTAGGAAATTCACATGTCAAATTGATAGCCCCAGTTATCTTTTCT